AATAAATAAATAAATAAATAAATAAATAAATAAATAAATAAATAAATAAATAAATAAATAAATAAATAAATAAATAAATAAATAAATAAATAAATAAATAAATAAATAAATAAATAAATAAATAAATAAATAAATAAATAAATAAATAAATAAAATAACAACAACAATAATAACAATAACAATAACAATAATAATAATAAAAATTCTGTGTTTCCATTTCCTGGGCAGTTCAGAGTAAATCAAGAAGATAGGGGAAGGGGCCTGGCTTTCAACAGCACCAGTGGTTGGCATTTTTTGGCTAGCTACCCTTCATTCACTTTTTGAACAACACAGATTTTGCTTGCTCAGTATGTATAAAGGGTGTGAGGAAATGTTTTAACCTTAGCAATGCATAAACGTTGCATATTATTAAACTTTACTCATTATTAGAATTATTTTTCAGGGTAACTCCTTCCACAATACAAATAATTTAAGAATTTTTTTTAAAGCAAATACAATACAATACAAACAACTTAAGATTTTTAAAAGCTAAAATATATAATATAATAATTTTTTTTTACTGAGATTAATTTACCTACTTAATTTATAAGCCACATCAATTGTCCAAGCAGCTCTAGATGACAAATCTTTAAAAAGAATGACAAAAATTGAAAAAAATGGTAATAGCAACTAAACAATACATAATTGTTAGTAACACCCCTGTCGAAGAAGAAGGAAGAATTCATCTGGACCAAATTTCCAAGGAGTTTCTCACCTGCTTTCCTCCCCCAGTTTTTTTTTAAATTAAAGATTAATCACCATATTTTTATATCAATGGCAAGTTGAACTTATAACTGCAATCACAGCATAATGATTTGAGGGTAAACTCTACTGAAGACTGTATGTATAAATCTATATTTTGCATCTACATTAGGAATATGAATGGAGAAAAATTAGAGAAAATGTGTTGGATAAGGTTGTATACACTTCAAGAAATGTCAACATTCAATACATTTACAGTATGTTATCTTTTTTTTCTAACCACATGGCAACAGATGGCAAACAATTGTCTATATTCGATGAACTACATGGGCAAACTTTTCCTTACATCAAACATGTCTACAAGCTATGATAAGATCTGATGTACTTTGTGTCATACTCAGTCTAGCGTTAACTGTACTGACTGAGAATTACAGGAATTGTTGGAAATGCATTTAGGGTGAGCCGCACTGAAAAAGGCTAGTGTAGGATATAACATTGTCACTTGTGTAAGTAGAAAAACCATGGAAAGTTTGAACTCTGACTTCCTGAAATGAGTTGTCCCTCATCTTCATCTTACTCCAAAAGTTGGTGAACATATTTCAACATTCCAGTCTGAGAAGGATCTTGAAGAAGGTGAAGCTAATGTCATGACATCTGGAATTTCTCACATTTTCCTGTTTTTCAACTTATTGCCAGCAGCATCATATCCGGAAGATGCTAATTGGAAAGCAGTAACTGCCAATAATGCTGTAGGGAAGCCAATTATCTCCAATTTTGTATCAAAGCAAACAGCTATGAAAAACTGTAAAATATTTGGTACCAAGACAGGAGCTAAAGTTTAAACTCTTGGTTTGAATATTGTATTGTTTTCTCTATTGAGGCTATGATTATACAGTGGATAACTTTGCAAAACTACAAGATGTTGTTCAATATATAATCATGTATAAAATGCAATCTAAATCTTACTGATAGATCCTGGGAAAAGAACACAATAACAAGAGTCTTTTTGAGCCATAAGCACTCTTGAGATGGGGAGACTGATAGCATACAATATTTTTCACTTTAAAAAAATATTAAGTTGTTTGTACTGTTGAAGGAGTTACCCTGAAAAATAATTATAATAATGAGTATAGTCCAATAATATGTAACAGTTATGTATTGCTAAGGTTAAAATATTTCCAGTTCTTCATATCCTTTATACATACTCCTACTCTTCCCATAAGCAGTCTTGAGTGCTTACTTTTATAAAGTTATTCACTTTATCTAATGTGAGATATTGTATTCATGTTTATTCTGAAGAAAACCCTATTTTATGCCATCAATGAAGCTTTCTTCCTAATAAAAAAGTTTAGAATTGAAGCCTTAAATGTAATGAGTTATAAAGGTTGTTTTAGTTAGATATATAATTAACCTCATTAGTGTTGTAATAATGTAACATCTGTTAATTTTTTAAATTTTACCTTTTGTAGAATTTTCACAAAATAAAGATTAAAAGATATAATTAGATCTTGGCATGTTCTTGTATTATTTTTGAAAGCATCCAATTTTTATTTAAAGATATGTTGAACTATATAGGGCACTATATAAAGCACAGTGTAGATACAAAATTAGAGGTAGTGGTCCTCAAATATATTCAGACAGATTGCCCAAATCTCAGCTAAGAACTTGTATTAGATCAGCTGCCTCCTTGAGAGGATGCTGGAAACTTTATATTTAAAATACTCCTTATACATTTTCAAAGTTTAAGACACTTAAACAAAAACTAAATGATATGGTATCACAAGCTCTTGTTTTGATTTATGTATTTATTTAACATGTGCTACGGTACTTCCTGTATCAAAGCATCTCAAAAATAGCAGTAAAATGCATGATAGTGTATTTTTTGAAGACTTAGATTCTTCAGTTCCCAAACCAGAGAATAACCATTCCAAGGGATCTTGTTGGGATTCAGTCAGTTAACTGTCCATCATCTTCTAGCCATTCACCAGACACCAATTCAGGACATGCATAACCTCTCCTCATTCAGATCTATGAAAAAAGCTACTCACTCAGTTTCATAGTGAAGTAAATAACACTGGGATCAAAATAATGATATGGATGTGTGCACCACACAGTATGATTGTTAGGGACAGTGATACAGATACTCAGTTCTATAGTTTAAGAGCATTCTTGCAAATAGTAATGACCATACCATTTTTCCCTGATTCCCAACCCCCAATTCATATGATTGGACTAGAGTAAGATGTTGTAATAACTCTCTCTCTCTGTGTGTGTGTGTGTGTGTAGTTATTACGACAATATCTTTGCACAAATAAGATTTCTGCTGGAATTGCTAGCAAAATCCTGTGCCTAGACATGCATGTGGATAGCCTTTTTTGCCATTATTTGAGCGTTTTAGACATCATAGTTGGTTTATAGAGAATCAATGCTTCTCCAGGATTTGGGGAACCACTTCTTTTTGATGTCTTGCGTGGTCTTTTTTTTTAAAGTTTGAGATGGATCAGTATATAAGTCTAGAAGGGTTTTAATGTTGGTATTAAAATTGCGTCCACCAAAAATTACAGTATTTTTTTGTGTTCTAGTGAAGGCTTGGTTCACATGCTAAGCCATGGTGTATTTTAATAAGTTTGTTGAATGAAGCACAGTATATGAGTTCAGCTAGGTCAAAACTAAACAAAGTATATTTTAAGTTGATGAGATGCCCGAAACTAACCAACATCCTTACACTACGTTGCGGTTTGTTTACAGTTGGTTTAATATGTTGCAGTTGGTAAGTCGGTGGAACCTAATACTTGTGATCATGATCTATGAATGAATGAATGAATGAATGAATGAATGAATGAATTCTTTATTGGCCAAGTGTGATTAGACATACAAGGAATTTGTCTTGGTGCATATGCTCTCAGTGTACATAAAAAGAAAAGATACATTTGTCAAGAATCATAAGGTACAACACTTAATGACAATCATAGGGTACAAATAAGCTATCAAATCATACAAGGAAACAGTCAATATAAATCGTAAGGATACAAGCAACAAAGTTACAATCATATATGGCTTAACATGTTGCCTGAATCCAGTCAATTGAGATTTATTCTATTAATCATAGCATATAATGCTATGTATAAATCCAACCCAAATGTTTTTTCTGTTCCAATGGAGAGATATTGTTGCTCCAACTCTAATTCCTAGCAGTTTCTAGCCAGGACTAAGGGCCCTGGAATAGTTATTCAGCAATATTTTTAAAGCCATAGTATAGATTCTCCCTCCTTGTTTTTCTTTCTTTTTGGAATATATAGGAAAATACCATTCACTAAGGAATTAAACATGCTCCAATTTTCCAGTTGATGTAAAAGCATGGGGATAACAGATAAATAAGAAGCTGTATTTTAATTTACATATATTTAAATTATAGTTTATTGAAATTTAATACAATAACTTTAAATCTATAGATTATATTTATGTCCTACATTTTTGCATTATTTTTCTGTTTTTAAAGATAAACAAATCCCTCCGAAGTAGTAGTGCATTTCTAAACACTTATGTCTTTAGAAAAGCTGCATTGGAAGAATAAAGAAACCTGCCTGAAAAAATTTTCCCCCAAAATTTTAACTTCTCTAATTTCTTGCACAGATATGTGTATACAATTTAAAAAGTGCACGGTCTTCTATATCATATGTAATAAAAGGAAGTGTTTGAGGTTTAAGAAAAGCTTACTGGTTGAAGTGGTATCAAGCTTCAATTGTAGATTGGCTTAGTCAATTGAAAGGCAATGGAATTTCTCCTTATATACAATTAGACCACAATTTCTGTATGCTTAAACTAGGTCTGTAATTATAGATTATACTGTAGTCAGATC